ATAGATAGTAATAGACTTGTAAAATTGATAAATATTTATTCCATCAATTCTATTACCATCAATTCTAGTCTTGTACACCACAATTTAGCTTTGACACACTACACTGGAAATTGTAAAGCTAATTCTACTTGGTCTTAATAGTTAAAACCTGGATTCAGATATGTGATTAATGATCAAAAATCAGAGAAGCAGAGCAGCCCACCCCTAGGTCTTACTTCTACTGAATCCTCAGACAAAAGGGGTGGGAAATTCTGATCCTAGGGTTAGAATGCAATAAACTTTTGTCTTCTTCCACTTTATATTTCTCTCTCCTCCCAGCCATATCTACCTCCCAAGTACAGGGATAAAGGAATGAGCCACTACCTGTCTCTGTTTCTCTTTTAGACTGGGTAAATCTGGTGTAGCCTGGGGCGACCATGAAATTACAGAGATCCACATCATTATGTCTCTCAAATGCTTGGATTAAAGGTGCTCCACCATGACCTGTCCTATATGCCTAACTACTGCCTAGCTCCACACTCTCTTCTTAAAGCAAGTTTTTTGTTGTTGTTGTTGTTTGTTTAATTGTTTAGATTTGTGTATTGTTTGTTTGGTGTTGTTTTCAGAGAGGGTTTCCCTGTGTACATTTCTAACTCAATCAAACACATGGAGATTTACCAGCCTCTGCCTCTCAAGCACTGGAATTAAAGGCATGTGCCGCCACCACCTGGCAAAACAAAATACCACAACACCACCATAAAGGAGAAAACCTTTATGGGCCCCACAAATTTAATGGCATGTGGATCCTGCTGAGTTTATCGATTTATAGCTTTAAAGCCCATTTCTTTGAAATACTCATGTGTACTGAAGACCAGCTGAGACACCCACACCCATAAACCAAACAAATATCGAATTCTTCAAATTTCCATTTGTCATCACCATTGATGTACTAGCTGGCCCAGAGCCTGGGAGACATCCAAATAAACCTACGTTCTACAGACACAGAGAGATATGTTCTACCAATCCTGTTCAAACAGAGAACACTGAATAATGCAGCTGTTTCCTCATCTTCCTACTGAGGAACCTGTGCTGGTTCAACGTAGTACTCATAGATATAGACGTTCTTCCCAGCACCATTGTCTTTGAATATTCAGCTTAACATGTAGATGACAATTTTATATTATTCTTCATATGTCAAGAATTTGACTCAAATATCAGGAATAAAACTCCAATACAATAGACCTATAACCCTGGCATCTGTGAGGAGAAAGATATATCATCTTGTTTGTAATATGGTTCCTGCCTTTCTCTCATGGTTATCTGAGAGGCCTGTGACAACCAGATAAAAAGTCCCCTCAGGTCTCCAGAACTCAGCCAGATGGCACAGAGCAAACATCACATGTATCCTAAAAAAATTCTCTGTACCTTTAATATTCTGGGACGCCTTCCATCTGTTTAATAAGAGAATTCTTTCAGTCTACATTGTGTAATGGTCTGAGCAAGCTCTGCACATTGTGTGGAGGAAGAAAGAGAGATAGAACCTGTGCACTGCAGGAAGTGGGTTGGATCGTTTATTGGTGACATGGGTAAGTGACATTGAAATTTGTGTCTGACTACGTAGTGTTGGCTGTCATCTTTGATTCCAGCACTCAGGAAGTAGAGGCAAGTAGATTTCTCTGAGTAGACTCTGGTCTACAGAGTAAGTTCCAGGATAGCAGGGCCACACAGGGAAACTCTGTTTCAAACATCAAAAGAAATGAATTAATTAATCAAATAATCAAATAATTAATTAATATTAAACAAGTAATGAGAAAAATCTACTAGAAAGCAACAACAACAAGATTAATAATAATAATTGAACAGCTCAGTTTAATGAGCAAGTTCTAGGACAACAGGCACCACACAGAGAAATTCTGTCTCAAAAAAAAAATTAGTTCCTGTTTGTGCAGATCTCTAAAATTCCTAGGTCTGGAGTAGAAGCCAGGCCCAAAGGAGGTGCAGGGCTTGCTGTGTCTTTAAGAACACTCTAACCCTTGAGGAACTGCTCTTGTCACTGAAGCCTTATTAGCCAATCATATTGAGCCAACACTCCAGTCTGAGGTCTGGAAGGAGACTTCCTTGAGCCATGCTACAGGCTTGGTTTTGTATCAGAACAGGAGCCAGAGGATTGATTGCTGCTCTATGAGTGGTACTGTTGGGAATTGTGAGGGGAGCTCATGGATGAACAGAGAAACTGAAGCACGGTGAGTGATGGGATGTGGGAAGGTGGGATGGGGAGTCATGGAATTCTGTTTGGCAGGCCCTCCAGTAGGAGGTTGGACTGGAATGTGCTGCCACATTCAGTGTTCAGTTAGGCCCATTGTGGTCCAGCAGCTTCCCAGACCACTGTGTGGCCTATGAATACTTCTCCATGTGGTATGCTTCTGAGGAAAGGATTTTGATGCGGTAGAATTGTGAATAAACTTCTGTGTAGTCAGCTCCATTATAGTTTTGGTGCACCAGGATGGCATTTACCAAAGAAGGAGAGGATCGGTTACCTCAGTGCCTTCCAGAAGTCCTGCTCTTAACATCTAAACTTTAGGGGTCACATCCATTCAGAGTTATTATTGTTTTGTTTTTTGCCATCAAAATAAATTTTCTTCTTTTGTGAAAATATAAATAAAAAGACCTTACTTTACATATTGAGCCCAGTTCACTCTCCCTGCCATCCTCCTATTTCCCCCAGTGACCTCCCTATACCACCCCCCATAAATTCCTCTGGGAGACACAGGTCTTCCAAGAGGGATCATCAAAATCTGTCAAGTCATTTGAGTTTTGGTCCAGGCACTCCTCCTTGTCTCTAGGCTAAGGGAGTATCCAAATTGGGAGTTAATTTTCTGCATGCTCTAAATGATATTATTTAATTATTTTTCATATATATATATATATATATATGCATGCACATATAGGTTATATATATATATATATATTTATAAAGTATATAATTTTTTTAAAATAGAATTTCTCCTTGTAGCTTTGCAGCCTGACTTAGAATTTTCTGTGTGGTGCAGGCTATCCCCAATCTCATAGAGATCTGCCTGCTACTGCCTCCCCATTGCTAGGTTATAGTCAAATGCATGTATAAATGGCATTCTTGTTTTGGACGACACTCCACCATTCAGCTGTTTTGTCAAAGACTGGAGTTGTTGATATAAAGATTTACCAATTCTTGGTGGATAGTTAGTCTCTCAAAATAGACTTTAGCTGACAAAGTGCTGCACCTAAAATTAAATAAAAAAATAAATAAATAAAATGAGTTTCATGCTATCCACTCATGTTAGAGATTATGATTCTAAAATATATTTGCTCCCCAGGAAAGTCCAGACATATGTCTCCAAACCATGGTAATAGACTAACCACTGATTTCAATGGAGCAGGGCTTTTACAAGCTGTTCAAGGGTTCCTTACTGGGCCATAATGAACATTAAGTCATGGTGTGCCATACACATCCATTTTCTTCTGGAGAAAAATCATGACTCTGTCATATGGGCAAGATGAGCCCAGGTGACAACAGTTTGAAAAGGAAAACAATGAAGTGTTGAGGGCTGGACTGAGCAAGCAAGAATTTTTGTGTAGATCCCCACTCATGGAGAAGTAACATTGTTCCTTCTGAAACACAGGAAAGTTCTTGGCAGAACAAATAACAGCTTCAGGGTTGTAGCCTTAGGTGATTTCCATCAGGTTTTGAGCTACTGAGAATAAAATAGAGCTCATCCCTTGAATCAAGGAAGATGCTTGGGAAAGAATGCAATTATCTATGGCCAGGGCCTTTGTGGAGGGGCTAATTCAGATCCCAATTACACAACTCTTCACACTACATGGAACTGTGGTTATTGGGCCTCTGACCACTGAGGGATTAGTCGGTAATGTTATTGGGATTCCCTGTTTGCCCCCTGCACTATTTGGGTAGCATTTTCCTGAGTTTGCCCCATTAAATGTTAACTCTGTTGACTTCCTAGATGTCCCTACTTCCATTCCCCCATGAAAGTAGTATACAAGACACTATTCCTCATATGAAGCTTACTTAGAATAATACATAGCTTCAGCAAAACACCCTTGACCAAGCTTTCATCTTTTCTTTGTTCTGCCTCCCCTACTTTTCTCATCTTATGGCATTTCTTCCTTAGGACCTGTCAGTAAAGTGTGACCTATTGTTTCATATTACACATGTACTCCTGGGATGGGTCCTTGTTTCACTGCCAGGGGCCGCCAAACAGAACAAGTCACCTAAGAGTCAGCCACATTCAGATGGTCTAGTTTGGTGCCATGAAGGTCCCCCAATTGTCAGTCCATACTCTGTGAGTTCCCAATAGTGATAGCAGATGTGGTGTGGCTTTGTTGTACTGGACTTTACCCTGTTAGAGGAATCACGTCACTTTATGATGAGACATGAGGTTTCTTATTCTCAGAATGATGCCCAATGCGTCAGAAACTCCCTGTTGCCTCTGAGTCATGCTGCAAGGACTCTAACCTCATGGACTGCAGCAGTCTGCATGCTGATATGGCCCCTGCCATAATGTTGATTAACTGAACCTCTGAAATTTTCAGTGTGACACCTCAATTAAATGTTTTCTTTGAAAGTGTTGCCCTGATCCATGGTGTCTCTTAACAGCAATGAAAATCTAACAAAGGCGGATGTCGTTCCCAGAGCCTGGGTTATTTCAATGACAGGCTGTCCCCATTGTACAATTTATTTCTGATGTGTTCTCAATAGTTTGTTCTGGAAGCTTGCCTCTCCCTTTATGCCTGTTTATTGGGATTTTTTTTCTCATGGCTATATGCTACTTAAAGGGCCAAGAAATGGTGCATGTTAACCTCCTATTCAGTTTTCTTCTAAATGGATTAGGTGAATGCATTATAATGACTATGTCATGAAATAAGTGTCCGAGGCTCCAGATTTATATAAGTATATTGTCAAGGAAGTTTGTATTTACAGTGAGTGTATTAGACTTCTTTGTCACACACGTATGGTTTATTGTAGTATGCAGTGACCTATGATGATGTGTATATTCACTTCACTCAGGAAGAATGGGCTTTGCTAAATCCTTCTCAGAAATGTCTCTACACAGATGTGATGCTGGACACCTACAGGAACCTCACTACTACAGGTGAGACTGTATTTTCCTTCATATTTTAAAATAAGAGACCCAATGTTTCTTGGTTACAGATACTATTCTGTAATTTTAATTGAGAAAAGGGAAACTTTGGTGAAAGTGTCAATGAAGTTATTAACAGAAATTTTGTACAATTTACAGTAATACATCATATATATTCTGTTATTTCAGGCTACATTTGGGATGACCATAATATGGAAGATCATTGGCAAACTTCTAGAAGACATAGAAGGTAAATTTTCATATGAAAATTTTGCTCTAACGATATTTTAATGTATTCTGGAAATTTTAGTGAAGAGACACACATAAAAAATTTAAACAGTGAAAATAAGTGCAGCTTAAAGTATAGTGATGGTTCTCATTTTCTGCCCAAACCATATGTATCAGTGAAAGGTAACTCTTCTGTGTTTCCAAGGCATTCATGTAAAAAGAGAAGGAAATAATTCCTTAACAGATAACACCCTAGAATTGTAGCGCGTGGAGATCTATGCTGTAGATATGCCTGTCTGTTGAGTTTCATACTATTCAGATATTTGAAACAGTATACTTGTTTCATAGGTCATAAGTATATATCCAACACCTACTAAGAAAATAGTCTGTAATAAAGCAGGCATTACTTATATATTTGTGACTTTTCTATGTATATCGAAAAGGTCATTTTATGAGTGTCAAGAAGTTTGTTGTGGAGAAACCTTAATCCCTATAACACATGTCTGTGAGGAAAAGAAAGTCAAAGTGTGTGAATGCAATGTGGAATCCTTTTTATTGATATTGTTACTTTAATAAGTATATCATATGTTGAGTCAGGTAGCTGTGGCCCATGGCTTTAATTTCAGTATTCATGATGAAGAGGAAGGTGGATCACAAAATTTTGTGATCAGCCTGGTCTACAAAGTGAGTTCCAGGCTATCTAGGTCTACACAGAGACATTATGTACCAGAACACTTAGGGAAAATAAAAGGAATATATGTTACGAGCCATGTGAATTTAGAATATGGAAAGAAGAAACATACCTCTCTCTCTTAGGACATTGAGAAGAAATAAAAGATATTCAGTAGTCATCACTTTGAGAATAATTGTTGAGTGTGAAACCAGTTTGAAATTTATCAGTATTCCAACATCATCTGAAAAATATCAACAAATACACTGCAGTAAATCCATATGAATGTGTGAATGTTTCCATTTGTACTGGTATATTTGGCCAGTGTATTATGATTCATACAATGGAAAAATTGATAAATGCAATAAATATGGCAAATGTCTGCAATGGTCCAATTATTTTCAATTATGTGAGAAATCTCATGTGAACATATGCAGTAAATGTGGGCCATGAAATAAAGGCTCATACTCTGAATCACAGGTATCTTCTTTGAAAGCAAGACAATACCTCACGAGGGAAGCATTATGAAAGTAAATTTCAATATCTTAATCTTGTCTACACGTAGGCCAAATTATAAATTTATTTTATGCATGTACTAAGTTCCTTTAGTATCATGCATGTGGTAAAGATTTACATATGCCAATTATCTTTGCAGTAATAAAAGAAGCCATACGGAAGTGAATCCTGTGAATATACACAATGAATGTGTGAATAACTTTGTATGTTACAGGCATCTTCAAAGGCTTGAAAAAATTCACACTGGAGAGAAACCATATAGAAGTCTTCAGTATGGTGAAGTCTTTTCATGCCAATGATTCCTCCAACTCCGTGAAAGAAAACACTCGGTAGAGAAAACCTATGAATGTAGTCAATGTGGTAAAGTGTTTGCAAGACATACTATGCTTAAAAGACATATTAGAACACATAGTGGAGAGAAAACACAAGATTGTAATCAATGTGGTAAAGTCTTTTCACTATGCAATCATCTCAAAAAACATTAAAGAACACATACTGGTGAGAAACGCTATGAATGTAGTGAATGTTGTAAGGCTTTTTCACAACACTGGTGTGTAGTGAGATGGTCCTTCTGTGGCACTGACCACGCCCATTGGGGGGTGGAGCCATGGGCAGGAGTGACCTGTGGAAGGAGTTCTGAGAGAGAGCCTGGAAAAGCTCTCTTGCTGGCATGACTCAGACAGGAGTGAATCGGGTTGAATTTCCTGGTGTTCATCTGTCTAGTTTGTAAGTTATTTCTCCATGAATAAACATCTATTCGGACTATTTGTTTATCCTGATCCTTATTTAACCGCGATATGTGGTGTCAGAAGCGGGATTAGGATTTTCACGGGACCTGAGTGAAACCAAGGCGGCAGACACCGCTACCCTCCACCACATACCCCAACGGGCAGGGTTTAACCAGGTGTACTCACCACAGCTTTGGGACATTTGCCTCTTCCTTACGGCAAAGGAGATCTTTGCTGCCAAAGTGGACCTGATAAGGCACTCACCGCTTCTCATTTTTTGCCCATTTCCGCATGGGACTTTGCATTCGCACAGAGCCGCTCGGCACCTGCCCTGCTTGCGTGTTTTCCGGCCCTTAGTCTTGTGTTCCAGCAATTCTAGAAGTCTCCTTTTAACAAAATTTCGCTTGCCATAGTTGGTTAAGAGCTATTCCATAGGGACCGGAATCAGAAGGATTGTCTGCTGCTGGACAATATTAGGCAGTATACTTCTAGGCAAAACTGGGATCAGACGGGCCTCGGCGGCTAGGCACTATTTGGTGGCACACCTCCAGGCATAACTACCACAAGCTGAGATCTACAACTAAAAGCATCAAAGTCCCAGGACAGCAGAATTACACCTAAGGTAATTGTAACATCCTTTGCAATTTAAGCTGATATAAAAACTGAGATCAATTGTTCCATAACTATGGCAGGTAATTTTACAATGCAGAACTTTAGGAACTATTTTACTTCATATGTAGAAAGGATTTTAGAAGAAGAAACTTATGACTGGACCAATATGTACTTTTATTTTGTAATAGCAATGGGTTTCATCATTAACATGATATTCTTAAAGAAATGGTTTGAGATTACAGCAAACAATAAGGAACTTGTACAAACCATAGGAGACTTAGGAACAAGGATTCGAAACATTGAAAATGATAGAATTCAAAGCATAGAAAGTATAGAAAAAAGGTTCAGAATATTGAAGATAGTGTTGGCGAGCTGACAGGTAGAATTTGTTTCATGTCAGATACTTCAATAACCAGAACAGAAACAATGCAATGCATTAACACACTAGCAGAAACAGCTCATTCCTGGTCTGAGGAAGCTACTAATAAGTTTAAAAAACTGGAACATCAGATAGAAAGACTAGATGATAGAATCTCTTCAATGCCAGAGGATAATGGCAAGCTAGCAGATAGAACATTGTTTCTGGAAGGTAGTTTACATGCCATTCAGATAATATCTAAGGATGAGAAGATTAAAAACATGGAATCATTTGTAGTTGGAGAAAGTAAGAAACTGACTGATGCAATGAAGTCTCTAGAAAGTTATTTTATTCAAGAAGTTCAGACACAAAAAGAAACAATGGTGAATAGATTTCAGGCTTTAGAAGACCTTCATTCTGATACATCAGAAGAAGAACTACAGGTAACAGGGCATGAAAAAGACTTAAAAATTTCCACACCATTTAGGGTCAGGGAATCTTTCCCTGTATCTGTTAATGAAAAACCAGCAACGAAAAAACACCCAAAAGATTTCGTTGCATATCAGTGGGAACCAATACATATGAAAGATTTAAAAGGTATAAAGGAAGCAGTAGTCTCTTATGGCATGCACTCACCTTATGTGAAGTAGAATCATGGGCAAGGTATAACAAGGTAACTCCTAAGGATTGGGATCAATTGCTATCAGCTGTCCTTGAAAGCTCCTCTCAATTAGAATGGAGGGCTTTATGGAGAGAGGAAGCAAAAGCTCTTGAACTTCAGGGCTTAAAGAAAGGTTATAAAGCTCCCCAAGATAAAATTCTTGGTGAGGGTCTCTATGCTGACCCAGAAACCCAAGCTGCCTATGATGAACATATCTTGTCTCTATGCAGTACAGCAGCTTTGAATGCTTGGGATAAGGTTCATGAATTAGAAGAGAGGATAAAACCCTATACCAAGATAAGGCAAGGACCTTGAGAATGCTTTAGTGTCTTTCTAGAAAGATTATCTAGGGCAGTACAATTAGAGGTAGCAGACATGGATGCTAGGAGATTACTCATAGAATCTTTAGCTTATGAGAATTCGAATCCTCAATGCAAACAGGTGCTTTGTCCTTTAAAAATGCGATCAGCACCCTTGGATGAATGGGATCTATATACAGGCATCATTGAGTATAATGACAATAAGACTGAAGCATGGGTAGGAGAAGCCATATCTAAAGGTCAGAGAAGACATCAAGATAACAGAGTTCCTTACTATGGTGATTTAGAAGCTTGGGTAGGAGAAGCCTTATCCAAAGGTTTGAAGAGATATCAACATGTCAGATGTTATAACTGTGGTAAGATAGGACATCTAAAAAGAAATTGTAGGCAAAGCTTCCCTAGAAATAACACTCCCAGGAATGAATCAAACAGAAGGCCTCAGGCTCCTGGGTTATGTAGAAGGTGTGGCAAAGGCAGACACTGGACAAATGAGTGTAGATCGACCAGAGACAAGCAAGGAAACCCTTTACCATCGGGAAACTCCTTTTGGGGGGCCTCTTGAAGGCCCCCACATCACAGGTGGTCCAAACATTCCCAGTCACAGTAGAAGACAATGTCCCACAGGACAATTAGAAAATTCTGTGCATATTATAAAAACTCATACTGCTCTGGATGAGAAAATAGTGAAGGAAGTTGAATCAAACATGACAGAAGGAAATAAAAAACATATATTTTGGCAAACCGCTATAAATAGCCATAGGCCTAGATTGATAGTTAAGATGAATAATAGACTTTTTGAAGGTCTCCTGGACACAGGCATGGATGTAACTATCATATCTAATAAATCTTGGCCTCGAAAATGGCCCCAGAATGAGGTAAATGTTCAATTATTAGGGATTGGAACCCTGTCTCAGGTAAAACAAAGCACGAGATGGATTGACTGTATAGGACAGAGAGGAAGGTTGAGACCATATGTGGCTGATGTAGTGATAAATTTTTGGGGTCGTGATCTATTACAGCAATGTAATACACAGATTAACATTCCTCCAGTATTAGATAGGAACCATAAACAACCTCGTGATTGTGGAAAAAATAGTATGAAGTACTATACAAGACATATACCAAATATCCAGGTGGTACAAAAACAGAACAAGTGCTGAACAAACAGAGGAAAGATAACAAATATTGGCAGAGAGCTTGCAGTAACTTTTTGGGAATGGTTAGCAACAACTATACCAAAACAGAGAATCAAATTCATAAAAAAAAAAAAAAAAAAAAAACGATTTGGATCCTTCCACGCATTGTAAGAAAAACACCTATTTCTGGAGTTCATACATTCTACACTGATGCAAACAAATCAGGTAAGGCAGGATATAAATCAGGAAAAATTAGCAAAGTGGTTCAAAGCCCTTACAATTCTATACAAAAGGCAGAATTGTATGCCATTCTCATGGTACTTATGGATTTTAAAGAACCCCTCAATATAGTTACTGACTCTCAATACGCAGAGAGAGTTGTTTTACACATTGAGACTACAGAATTTATTTCTGTCGATACAGAATTAACTTCGATGTTTATACAGTTACAAGATACTATCAGAAGCAGGACTCATCCTATATATATAACACATCAGATCCCATACGAGTCTGCCAGGTCCTCTAGCACAAGGGAATGATGAAATTGATCGTTTATTGTTAGGAAGTGTGCTAGAAGCCTCAGAGTTTCATAAGAAACACCACGTGAACAGCAAAGGTTTAAAAAAGGATTTTTCTATCACTTGGCAACAAACCAAGGAAATAGTAAGGAAATGCTCTACTTGCTCATTCTATAACCAAACCCCTTTACCACCAGGCAGTGATCCTAAAGGTATAAATAGGAATGAAATATGGCAAATGGATGTGTTTCATTTTGCAGAATTTGGAAAACTAAAATATGTACATCACACTATAGCTACATTTTCAGGGTTTCAAGGGGCTACTTCTCTGAGCTCTGAAAAGGCTGATTCTGTTATCACACACCTATTAGAGGTAATGGCCATTATGGGCATACCTGCACAAATAAAAACTGACAATGCTCCAGCATATTTCTCCAGCAAATTGAAACAGTTTTTTGAGTATTACAAGATAAAGCACATAACTGGTATACCACACAATCCTACAGGATAAGCAGTGGTTGAGAGATCCAATCGTACTTTAAAAGAAATGCTCCATAAACAGGCAGGAGGAACCAAAACACCCAAACACAGATTACATAATGCTTTATTAACATTAAACTTTCTTAATGCTGATGAAAAAGGAAAAACAGCTGCAGAAAGACACTGGACAATAGAAAAAACTTCTGAACTAAATCAGCCAGTGTACTTCAAGGATGTACTGACCTCATAATGGAAAGCAGGATATGTGTTACGTTGGGGTAGGGGTTTTGCATTTGTATCTACAGGAGAAGAAAAACTATGGATACCATCTAAGTTAATCAAGATCCGAGTTGAACAAGAGAAACATCTTAATGAATTGAAATGACAAGTCATCCAACGAATTAGGTCCCATGAGGTGTGCAGAGGCCTCTCAAAGGGAGGGGAAGTGTTCTGTTCTTGTTCTTAAAGGAAAAC